GTTTCGTTTTTCGGAATTGGGACGAAATTTCGCTTTGTTTCGTTGGTTCGTTGCAGCAAAGTGACATTAAGAGGAAATTTGTTTGTTTTTGTTCTCAGACGTCACTTTGCTGCAACGAAAGTTCATCCAAAAAAACAAATCGGAGATTCGGAATCGTTTGCATTCATCATACCTGTAATTCGGAACCAAACGAATCGCACGCGTATAATAATGATGATGATGTTTTTGGCAGAATGTTACATTGTAGTCAGCATTTGATGATATTGGTCATGTATGTTCTCCGATCCTCCAGCGCTGACTGGCGGAACGGACGGGGGAGGGGGCGGGTACAGCTGGCTCTGCCTCTAGATAGGCAGAGCCAGCTGTCACTCACGCAGCTGGGCAGATCCCGACATCTACGTCGGGATCCGCTCCGGCTGCGGCGTCTCAGTATACCGCCAGCTGTAGCTCCCTATATACTGAGCTTAGGGTGACGGGAGGACGCTAGTTTGTGTCCTCCCGTTACCCTGAGGAGAACTATGGGGAAAAGCCCTGACCCCATAGTTCTCCTTTAATTACCTTACAACCATCGCACGAAGAAAGTTGTGCAATGGTTGTAAGGTGTATGGCCAGCTTAACACAGCCAAGGTACCAATCCAGCACTAGGGGGGAGGGGGCACCACTGCCCAACCCTTGGATGTGTGGTGCTAGTTCCAGGACAGAGCGCTCCTTTGCCGGAGGAGTCATTCTGGGGATTTCACTTTAAATCTGAGTCTCTCTCCTTCCCTTCAGCTGAATGGTTCTGGAACAGTCGCGGTCCCCACACTGATAAATCCTCCACATGTGATCCTCGGAGGAGATTCTGATTCCTGTAGCTGAGAATTGTCGGGATTTATGTAAAAAACTCTGCGGAGGAAACGATTCCTAATAACTGGAGTTATGAAGGGGTCAGCGCGGCCTGAAGACCCCCCCCCGGGTCCTGTGCAGGTCAGGATTCATGGGTCGCACGATTTCCCCTCTGCTCCGGGTTTGATAACTGAAACCTCCCGTCTTATATCAGATGATTGTTTGGGGGGAGTGAAGAAGAATAATTAGAGATGCGCACCAGTAAAACAGATTTGTTTCGTTTTTCGGAATTGGGACGAAATTTCGCTTTGTTTCGTTGGTTCGTTGCAGCAAAGTGACATTAAGAGGAAATTTGTTTGTTTTTGTTCTCAGACGTCACTTTGCTGCAACGAAAGTTCATCCAAAAAAACAAATCGGAGATTCGGAATCGTTTGCATTCATCATACCTGTAATTCGGAACCAAACGAATCGCACGCGTATAATAATGATGATGATGTTTTTGGCAGAATGTTACATTGTAGTCAGCATTTGATGATATTGGTCATGTATGTAGGATATTGTATGTTCGGTCCGGTCTGTATACATTGTATGTTCGGTCCGGTCTGTATACATTGTATGTTCGGTCCAGTCTGTATACATTGTATGTTCCGTCCAGTCTGTATACATTGTATGTTCGGTCCAGTCTGTATACATTGTATGTTCCGTCCAGTCTGTGTACATTGTATGTTCGGTCCAGTCTGTATGCATTGTATGTTCGGTCCGGTCTGTATACATTGTATGTTCGGTCCAGTCTGTATACATTGTATGTTCAGTCCAGTCTGTATACATTGTATGTTCGATCCAGTCTGTATACATTGTATGTTCGATCCAGTCTGTATACATTGTATGTTCGATCCAGTCTGTATACATTGTATGTTCGATCCAGTCTGTATACATTGTATGTTCGATCCAGTCTGTATACATTGTATGTTCGATCCAGTCTGTATACATTGTATGTTCGATCCAGTCTGTATACATTGTATGTTCGATCCAGTCTGTATACATTGTATGTTCGATCCAGTCTGTATACATTGTATGTTCGATCCAGTCTGTATACATTGTATGTTCGATCCAGTCTGTATACATTGTATGTTCGATCCAGTCTGTATACATTGTATGTTCGATCCAGTCTGTATACATTGTATGTTCGATCCAGTCTGTATACATTGTATGTTCGATCCAGTCTGTATACATTGTATGTTCGATCCAGTCTGTATACATTGTATGTTCGATCCAGTCTGTATACATTGTATGTTCGATCCAGTCTGTATACATTGTATGTTCGATCCAGTCTGTATACATTGTATGTTCGATCCAGTCTGTATACATTGTATGTTCGATCCAGTCTGTATACATTGTATGTTCGATCCAGTCTGTATACATTGTATGTTCGATCCAGTCTGTATACATTGTATGTTCGATCCAGTCTGTATACATTGTATGTTCGATCCAGTCTGTATACATTGTATGTTCGATCCAGTCTGTATACATTGTATGTTCGATCCAGTCTGTATACATTGTATGTTCGATCCAGTCTGTATACATTGTATGTTCGATCCAGTCTGTATACATTGTATGTTCGATCCAGTCTGTATACATTGTATGTTCGATCCAGTCTGTATACATTGTATGTTCGATCCAGTCTGTATACATTGTATGTTCGATCCAGTCTGTATACATTGTATGTTCGATCCAGTCTGTATACATTGTATGTTCGATCCAGTCTGTATACATTGTATGTTCGATCCAGTCTGTATACATTGTATGTTCGATCCAGTCTGTATACATTGTATGTTCGATCCAGTCTGTATACATTGTATGTTCGATCCAGTCTGTATACATTGTATGTTCGATCCAGTCTGTATACATTGTATGTTCGATCCAGTCTGTATACATTGTATGTTCGATCCAGTCTGTATACATTGTATGTTCGATCCAGTCTGTATACATTGTATGTTCGATCCAGTCTGTATACATTGTATGTTCGATCCAGTCTGTATACATTGTATGTTCCGTCCAGTCTGTGTACATTGTACGTTCGGTCCAGTCTGTATACATTGTATGTTCGGTCCAGTCTACATACATGTTTGATCGTTTGGCTCACACGTCCTTCATGTGGATAGGAGACATTCTGTGAACACAGCTGACCTCTGACCTTTCGAGCTGCAACGTTCCTGTGACACAGACTTCAGAATGACCGGATCCCGGGAATAGATTCGGAGCCATTTCCCGGTATTTCCTGTCTGGTCACCCTGAATCCCCGGGGCCCTCTTATTAAACTCCAGAACTGCACGGTCTTTGGATGGGGAGATTTATACTGGCCCCTGGGAGCCCCAGCACACTCAGCAACATCTAGGGGGCCAACAATGAAATCTGATGGAACAGGCTGGGAGTTGTAGTTCATCAGAAGGCAGAGGGCCACAAGCTGTCACGTGTTGAGTTGGGGACAGTATAGTTTTGGATGGAGAGGAGAGTCCAGAGCTCTCCCATGCAGTGCTCCCGGATCCACCACCAGATGACCAGCATCATTCAACCCACTTCCTATGAGCCCAGGGCATCCTGGACCCCCAGCCTGTGACTGGACAGTGAAAGGAGAAGCAGCACATGAGTGTTGAGCTCATCTCTCTGCCCTCTCCTCCTATCAGTATGCTTATTGCCAGCACATGAACTGTTTGGCTCATTCTTCCTCTCAGACTCCAGTCAATCCCGGTGTAATTTCTCACTAATACCTGTGTGAAAAGCCTCAGATGGAAACGGTTTTTCTCTGCCTCCCGGGTTGCATACTGAGCCTAGTGACATGACAATTGGGGTCACCGTCATTGCGATGGAAGTGATATGCAATCCAGCGGGAAGGGAATGGTAGCTCCTCTCTGAGGCTTCTCACACAGGTAGTGACAGGTACTCTTCACTGCTTTTCCAGAAAAACACAAGTCCCAGCCTGGAAGATTTCAATGGATTTTATTGATGATCAATATTCATAAAGAACAGACGAAGCGATTGGAGCCGCAAACCGAGAATCCCGACGTCCCGACGAATCACATGACGAAAAGAACCGGAACAATGTCTGAACTGATTTCATTGTCTCAGCGGCTCTCCGGCACTGCGGATCAATAACGCTTTCCTCACCCAACACATCATAAGAAGAGATGAGGGTATAAGCTCCTCCCCCAGTCACGTGGTCAGATTAGTGCTCCTCCCCCAGTCACATGGTCTGATTAGTGCTCCTGCCCCAGTCATATGGTCAGATTAGTGCTCCTCCCCCAGTCACATGGTCATATTAGTGCTCCTCCCCAGTCACATGATGGGAGGAGTGCTCCAAACCAGTCACATGGAAGGAGTAGTGCTCCTCCCCAAGTCACATGGTAGAAGAAAAGCTCCACCCAAGTCACATGGTAGAAATAGAGCTCTGCCCCGGTCACATGGTGAGAGTAGAACTCTGCCCTGACCACATGGTGGCGGTAGAGGACTCTCCCGGTTACATGGTGGGAGCAGAGCTCTCCGGTCACATGGCGGGAGCAGAGGCCTTCTCCAGTCACATGGAGCAGAGCTCCGCCCTGGTCACATGGCGAGAGTAGAGCTCCATCCTGGTAACATGGCAAGAGTAGATCTCTGCCCTGGTCACATGGTGGGGGTATAGGACTGCTCTGGTCACATGATAGGGCTAGAGCTCTGCCCCGGTCACATGGTGGGAGTAGAGCTGTGCCCCGGTCACATGGCGAGAGTAGAGCTCCATTCTGGTCACATGGCGACAGTAGATGTCTGCCCTGGTTACATGGTGGTGGTATAGGACTGCTCCGGTCACATGGAGTAGATGTCTGCCCTGGTCACATGGTGGGGGTAGAGCTCCATCCTGGTCACATGGCGAGAGTAGGGCTCCATCCTGGTCACATGGTGGGAGTAGAGCTCCACCCCGGTCACATGGTGGGAGTAGAGCTCCGCCCCGCTCACATGGTGGGAGTAGAACTCCACCCCGGTCACATGGTGGGAGTAGAGCTCCGCCCCGCTCACATGGTGGGAGTAGAGCTCCACCCCGTTCACATGGTGGGAGTAGAGCTCAGCCAAGAGTTTACTAATACTGTAGTTAACATTGTTGCAACAAAGTGACACCCCTCAGTATTGCTGACTGGCCGTCCTTCCACAGAGGTAGTGCGAGAGTCCAGACTGATATCTTTCCTGTGTCCCGGGTTACACGTCATGTGACTGTCCAACTCAGAAGTGGATAGGTAGAAAGTGTCACTGGGAGGAGCCTGGATCGGTTCCGCGCAGGGTCTCACCTCTGATTGGCTCTTTGCTGACTTGTTATCTCCTGCACCGGTGGCGGGTCCACATAGTCAGTGTACGGGGACAGAGACAGCTGGAACGAGTTGGGCGGCTGCTGGAACGGCAGCATTGGCGCCGGGTTGTCGGTGATTGGCGCGGCTGGACTCGGCACCTGTGTGGGGACAGAAGGGCGGTTATGAGAAGAGAAGCCAGCGAGCTGGAATCACACAAACAATATATTACAGGGGCCCCAAGGCCTGGTCACCACGGCAACCTCGGTGTCCGCCTATATAATAATAATAATATGTAACAGCAAAACATGTCACAAACCACACTCAGAATCTCAGGTGTCACATGACTCCTACTGACCAATGGAGGGTACTGGTAGAGGGAGGAGTTCCTGGGGTCAATCTCCGCCATGGATTGCAGCTCTGCGTCCCGCGCGTTGACGATTCGGAGGTAAAGTTCGGCTTTTCCGACCTGCAGACATATCATAGGTGTCACCCGCAACCCGACCACATACATTATACAGTGCTGCCTGCAGGGGGCGCCACTACAGCATGCAATGTGAAGTGCCTGAACAAGGACAGAGCATTGTCACCCTATAACAGGAAGTGTCTGAACAAGGACAGAGCATTGTCACCCAATAACAGGAAGTGTCTGAACAAGGACAGAACATTGTCACCCAATAACAGGAAGTGTCTGAACAAGGACAGAGCATTGTCACCCTATAACAGGAAGTGTCTGAACAAGGACAGAACATTGTCACCCAATAACAGGAAGTGTCTGAACAAGGACAGAGCATTGTCACCCAATAACAGGAAGTGTCTGAACAAGGACAGAGCATTGTCACCCTATAACAGGAAGTGTCTGAACAAGGACAGAGCATTGTCACCCTATAACAGGAAGTGTCTGAACAAGGACAGAGCATTGTCACCCTATAACAGGAAGTGTCTGAACAAGGACAGAGCATTGTCACCCTATAACAGGAAGTGTCTGAACAAGGACAGAGCATTGTCACCCTATAACAGGAAGTGTCTGAACAAGGACAGAGCATTGTCACCCTATAACAGGAAGTGTCTGAACAAGGACAGAGCATTGTCACCCTATAACAGGAAGTGTCTGAACAAGGACAGAGCATTGTCACCCTATAACAGGAAGTGTCTGAACAAGGACAGAGCATTGTCACCCTATAACAGGAAGTGTCTGAACAAGGACAGAGCATTGTCACCCTATAACAGGAAGTGTCTGAACAAGGACAGAGCATTGTCACCCTATAACAGGAAGTGTCTGAACAAGGACAGAGCATTGTCACCCTATAACAGGAAGTGTCTGAACAAGGACAGAGCATTGTCACCCTATAACAGGAAGTGTCTGAACAAGGACAGAGCATTGTCACCCTATAACAGGAAGTGTCTGAACAAGGACAGAGCATTGTCACCCTATAACAGGAAGTGTCTGAACAAGGACAGAGCATTGTCACCCTATAACAGGAAGTGTCTGAACAAGGACAGAGCATTGTCACCCTATAACAGGAAGTGTCTGAACAAGGACAGAGCATTGTCACCCTATAACAGGAAGTGTCTGAACAAGGACAGAGCATTGTCACCCTATAACAGGAAGTGTCTGAACAAGGACAGAGCATTGTCACCCTATAACAGGAAGTGTCTGAACAAGGACAGAGCATTGTCACCCTATAACAGGAAGTGTCTGAACAAGGACAGAGCATTGTCACCCTATAACAGGAAGTGTCTGAACAAGGACAGAGCATTGTCACCCTATAACAGGAAGTGTCTGAACAAGGACAGAGCATTGTCACCCTATAACAGGAAGTGTCTGAACAAGGACAGAGCATTGTCACCCTATAACAGGAAGTGTCTGAACAAGGACAGAGCATTGTCACCCTATAACAGGAAGTGTCTGAACAAGGACAGAGCATTGTCACCCTATAACAGGAAGTGTCTGAACAAGGACAGAGCATTGTCACCCTATAACAGGAAGTGTCTGAACAAGGACAGAGCATTGTCACCCTATAACAGGAAGTGTCTGAACAAGGACAGAGCATTGTCACCCTATAACAGGAAGTGTCTGAACAAGGACAGAGCATTGTCACCCTATAACAGGAAGTGTCTGAACAAGGACAGAGCATTGTCACCCTATAACAGGAAGTGTCTGAACAAGGACAGAGCATTGTCACCCTATAACAGGAAGTGTCTGAACAAGGACAGAGCATTGTCACCCTATAACAGGAAGTGTCTGAACAAGGACAGAGCATTGTCACCCTATAACAGGAAGTGTCTGAACAAGGACAGAGCATTGTCACCCTATAACAGGAAGTGTCTGAACAAGGACAGAGCATTGTCACCCTATAACAGGAAGTGTCTGAACAAGGACAGAACATTGTCACCCAATAACAGGAAGTGTCTGAACAAGGACAGAGCATTGTCACCCTATAACAGGAAGTGACTGAACAAGGACAGAACATTGTCACCCTATAACAGGAAGTGGCTGAACAAGGACAGAGCATTGTCACCCTATAACAGGAAGTGCCTGAACAAGGACAGAGCGTTGCGTCACACGCAGCACAGCGGTCACACTACCTGCGGCACGGTGTTCAGCTGTCCGGTGCTCAGGCCCGGTCGCAGCGGCAGTCCTCTCACAGGAAGCTTCCATCGGCCGCTCAGGACTTGGTTATGGTGATCGAACAGGTCCAGCTTGGTCCAGCCGCACGAGGACAAGTGCTGGACCTCCTGACCGTACAGATTGAAGCCGCCGGCCGCCTGCAGCTCCGTGACCAGAGCGATGGAGGAGGTGGGCCGGACCCTGAAAACAGAAACACCATTCACTGAATGAGATCAGAGGCAGCAACATGGAGGCGGCGGGAGGGATCAGCGGGACACATGAGCTGCAATTGGATGATCAGATCGTATACAATGGGGACACGGCCTGACCTGTGGTGTTCAGGTTACAGTGGTGGCGTATCAATAGACATAGCAGTCCATACGGCTCCTATGGGGCCCGGGGATGGGAGTGGACCC